GGGAGGGGGGTTATAACAGTGTACCATTGGTATTGCTGTTTCTGCTTGTCTGTCTACTCTGGACATTCATGTAATTTACACTGGTTTATAAAACTGATATAAATGCAATTGGTGCAAATGTGTCATGTTTCCAGGCCCTTACCTTTGGCGGGGCTGTAGCTCACTGACTTGCTTTAACTTGATTTTAGCAAGGTTTTTGATACAGTTTCCCACAACGTTCTCGCAGGCAAGGTATTGCCTGGATGAATGGACTGTAAGGTGGATAGAAATTGGCTAAAGCATCAGACTTAGAGGGTAGTAATCAATGGCTCAATATCTAGCTGACAGCTGGTATTAAGTGGGGTGCCCCAGGGGTCAGTCGTGGGGCCTGTTTTGTTTAATGTCTTCATCAACGACCTGGAAGATGGCACAGAGTACACCTTCAGCAAGTTTGAAGATGACACCAAGCTGGAGGGAGTAGTAGCTGGAGGATAGAGCTAGGATTCAGAGAGACCTAGGCAAATTGGAGGATTGGGCCAAAAGAAATCTCATGCGGTTGAACAAGGACAAGTGCAAAGTCCTGTATTTAGGACATAACAGTTCCATGCACCAGTACAGGCTGGGGGCTGACTAGCAGGGCAGCAGCTCTGCAGAAAAGGACTTGGGTGTTACAATAAACTGAATATGAGCCAATAGTGTGCCCTTGTTGCCAGGTAAGCTAATGGCATACTGGGCTGCATTAGTAGGACTGTTGCCAGCAGTTCAATGGAAGTGATTATTCCCCTCTATTCTGCACTGGTAAGGCCATATCTGCAGTACTGTGGTCAGTTTTGGGCCCCCCACTACAGAAAGGATGTGGATAAGTTGGACAGAATCCAGTGGAAAGCAATGGAAATGGTTCAGGGGCTGGGTTGCATGACTTCTGAGGAGAGGCTCAGGGAACTGGGCTTTATTTAGTCTAGAGAAAAGGAGACTGAGGGGATTAAATAGCCACCTTCAACTACCTGAAGTGGGGTTCCAAAGAGGATGGAGTTGGACTGTTCTCAGTGGTGGCAGATGGCAGAATAAGGAGCAACAGTCTCAAGTTGCAGTAAGGGAAGTTTAGGTTAGATAGCAGGAAGAATTTTCTCACTAGGAGGGTGATGAAGCACTGGAACAGGTTACCCAGAGAAGTTGTGGACTCTCCATCCTTGGAGGTTTTTAAGACCCGGCTGAACAAAGCCTTGGCTGGGATGATCTAGTTGGGGATGGTCCTGCTTTGAGCAGGAGGTTGGACTTAGATGACCTCCTGAGGTCCCTTCCAACCCTAATTGTCTATGATTCGATGATTTATGGGTTGACT